TTCTTTCTTTCTTTCTTCCTTTTCTTACTGAAGTATAGTCAATTACAGTGTGTCAGTTTTCAGGCATCTTTGTCTATTTCTATAAGTTCTAGCCCCCAATTTCTGATTTTTAAATGTGTGGTCAAATTTTTTTTTTTCTGTAAAATATTTGCACTTTTTTAGAATAATGCAGGTTCTTCCCTCTTCTGTAGTTTCAGGTTTGTATTTGCTAACCTTATCCCAGAGCAAGGAAAGCATAAGTTAAAAGTAATTTTTATGGAAGTTGGTATTGGAGACTTATAAACCACTAGTCATGCTGGGCTTTTAAAATTAATTAAAATTAAAAAGTTAATTTCATAGTCGCAGTAGCAGCATTTGAAGTCTCAATAGTAAGTATTGGGCCACACAAAAACAGAATACATCCATCACAGAATGTTCTACTGGATATTGTAGAGGATGTGAACGCCTTTGTTTGATAAAGAAGGAACTGAGACCACGGAGCCATCACTTCCTCAAGATGATAGTGGCAGGTGTAGGGTTCGTTATTGAGCCCAGTGATTCTGGTGTATTGTTCATACTGTTAAACCATGTTTTCATCTGATGTTGTTTTTTAAACCTTTGCTTTTTAGTAGTATGATTATCTTTGTGCTCTAAAGCTATTTTTTTTTAAAGACTTTATTAACTTTGTTTTTTTTCCCTCAGCTCCAAAGGCTGAGCTGATAGGTACAGAGAAGAAGTATTTTCCTATAAAGCCTGAAGAAAAAGGTGAGGCGAATTCTTCCACTTTCAGAAGAATAATTATTCGTTTCATTGTCATTGTAAGGAAAAACTGTCTCTACACTGAGTCATGTACTCTGATTTTAACAAATGTTCATTATTTCCTTTGTAATGCTTATGGTTTTCTCAGAGGGAGTAGTTTGTCAAGATCAATAGGAAATTAAGATTTTACTCAAACTGATACCAGTTTACATTCATGAAAAAGTTAAATCATCACCTCAGTAAGGATGTCGTATTTAATCATAGTTATTTCAAATATTGTGTAAGAAAACGAAGTATTAAACAGTTATACTTTTGTCATTTTTGTAGTGTTCCAGTTGAAATACAGTTTTTTCTTAGGCATAAGAGTGAATTCTTGCTTAAAACATGGAAGTGACTTATTATGTATTATTTAATTTCCACTGCATGTATTTGTCATGTAAACTTGGAAAGACATTCCAAGATACCATAGGAGTTTTGTTTAAAAGCGTTATTTGTTTTGTTATTGTTAATACTTCCTTATCTTTGTACAGGAAGATCTGCAGTGGTTGTATCTAGTAGATGAGGTTATATATATTTGCAAAAACTTGAGTAATGTTTCAGAATGCTTTTGTTTTTACTGCCAGTGTTCTCTCTACTGCCTGTCTTTGAGGTCTCTTGCTTAAAGTGTTAACTGTATTCTCCTAATTGATTTCTCTCATTCTAGTCGCTTGTCTGACTTCTATTTCACATTGTTGCCAGATTCTTTTTTTTTTTCAATAGACTTTTTAAGAAAAGTTTCAGATTCACAGCAAAATTGAGCAGGAAGCACAGAGTTCCCATGTTCTCCTTGCCCTCACACATGGACAGCCTCCCCTGCGATCAGCATCCTGCACCATGTGGTACATTTGTTACCATCAGTGCACCTCCACTGACACATCATTATCACCCAAAGTCTACAGTTTCCATTAGGGGTCACACCTGGCATTGTACATTTAATGAGTTTGGACAAATGTATAATTTGACAAATGTATAATTGTCATATCATGCAGAACGGTCTGACCTCCCTAAATGCTCTGCAGTTTAATCCCTCTGTTCCCCCCACCCCTGACAGCCCCTCATCTTTTTATTTTCTCCATAGTTCTGCTTTTTTTCAGAATGTCATATAGTCATATGTAGCTTTTTCACATTGTCTTCTTTCACTTCGTACTATACATTTAAGGTTTCTCTGTGTGTTCATGGCTTAATAATAGCTCATTTGTTTTTAGTATTGATTAATATTCCACTGTCTGGCTGTACCGGGGTTTATCCATTTACCTACTGAAGGACATTTTGGTTGCTTCCAGGCTTTGGCAGTTATGAATAAGGCTGCTGTAAACCTTGTGCAGGTTTTTCTTGTGCACATCAGTTTTCAGTTCACTTGGGTAAATACCAAAGAATGTAATTGCTAATTCATATGGTAAGAGTATGTTTAGTTTTGTAAGAAACTGGCAAGTTGTCTTCCAAAATGTCTGTACCATTTTGCATTCCTACCAACAAGGAATGAAAGCTCTTGCTGCTTCACGTCCTGGTCAGCATTTGATGTTGTCACGAACTGATTTCAAGTTGCATTTTTGGTATCTTCTTCTACTTTTTTCATTCACTAGATGTAGTAACCACATTCTTGACCCTGAATGTCATACACTTTCATAGTTTTATCTTGATCTGTGTTCAGCATGGAAAGTTTCTTTATATCTCCCCGTTTTACATTTTATATCTCCCCATTTTACTTAGGAGCACAAGTTTTTGTCCTCTTTGGGGGAAGATTTTCTTGGATATACCTGTCAGTAACTCACTTCATTCTTGGTGCCCCATCCCATCCTTGATATGAAATATGCTTGATAGAAAGGAAGGAACTGATGTTTATTTTGGAGTGCTAGGTGGAGAGGCATAGGTGTGTAGGAGAGAATAAAACAAAAGCTCTGGTGGGCCTATAATAAATCACTTCAGTGGTAACCTTATGTACACGTCCTCCCCCAGGGCCCTAGTCACATCCACATGTGTCATTGGCTGCTGAAGCCCAGCCTGGTTGCACATTTTTAATAGTAGAGGCAGTGAGTCTGTGCTTGCTTTTTCTTGAGGAGCATTTCTTTTGAGTTTCTATTACTGCAATTGTAGAAGTCAAGATCTGCCCTCTTATGTTTCAGTTCATTCATAAGCAGAACGTAACCAGATATGAATCCCCTCCAAGTAGGAGTAAGTACTAATACATTAATGGCAGTCTGGTTTACTAATGAGCAGAATGGGAGGGATCATTTGTGCTGGTGGATATTCCTCCCTTGAGGTTTTCTTGCCTCTGCGTTTGTCACAGATTTTAGCCTGGCGTTAAAGGTCAGCAGGTTACTGTTGCTGGAAAGCTGTAGTCACGTGCTGGGAATTCACTACTGATACATGAGACTACAGAGATTTTGAGGGTACAGTTGATTGATTTCTCTTGAGTTTCAGCCCCAGTGAATTGAATTGTGACTCTTACCCTGTCTCTCTGAAAAAGGTGTGGGGCTCTACTGACTGCAATAAGGCTTTGTCTCTTCCAGAAGGTCATGTGGCTGCTGCTGGTTCCTACCCAAAAGCCCAGGAGTATCATTAATTCACTTACTCATTCAGTGAATTAGAAATTTGAGATAGTTCTTGTTTCCTGAGGTAAGCTTGTATCGCTATAAACTTTCCTCTTAGAACTGCTTTTGCTGTGTCCCTGGGGTTTTGGATCATTGCATTTTCATTTTCATTTGTCTCTAAGCATTTTTTTGATTTCCTGAGTGATCCATGGGTTGTTTAGTAGTATATTGTTTAGCCTCCATGTGTTGTGATTTTTGTGGTTTTTTTCGTTGTAGTTGATTCCTGATCTCATAGAATTGTGGTTGGAAATGACGGTTGATATGATTTCAGTTTTCTTAAATCTACTGAGGCTTGCTCTGTGGGCTAGCATATGATCTATCCTGGAGAATGTTCCATGTGCACTTGAGAAGACGATATTCTGCTTTTGTATGGAATTCTCTATAAATTTCAATTAAGTCCATCTGGTCTAATGTGCCGTTTAAGTCTTATATTTCCTTATTGATACTCTGCTTGGATGATCTGTCCACTGATGTAAGTGGGGTGTTAGGATCCTCCACTACTGTGTTATTGTCAGTTTCTCCTTTTAGGTCTGATAACAGTTGCCTTATATATTGAGGTGCTTCTGTGTTGGGTGCATATATATTTACAACTGTTATATCTTCTTGAATTGATGCCTTGATCATTATGTAGTGTCCTTTGTCTCTTGTAACAGTCTTTATTTTAAAGTCTTTAGTGTCTGATGTAAGTATTGTGACCCCAGCTTTCTTTTGATTTCCGTTTGGGTGGAATACCTTTTTACGTCCTCTCACGTTCAGTCTGTGTGTGTTTCTAGATCTGAAGTGAGTCTCTTGTAGGTAGCAAATAATATGGGTCTTGTTTTTGTATCCATTCAGCCATTCTGTGTCTTTTGGTTGATATGATTGTTGATGTGATTTCAGTTTCCTTAAATTTACTGAGGCTTGCTTTGTGGGCCAGCATATGATCTATCCTGGAGAATGTTCCGTGTGCACTTGGAACTGTTTACATTTAAGGTAATTAGTCTGTTTACATTTAAGGTAATTAAAAATATATATATGTTCCTATTGCCATTTTGTTAATTGCTTTTGATTTGTTTTAGTAGTTCTTTTTCTTCCTTTTCTTTTGTTCTCTTTGCTTGTGCTTTGGTGATTCTCTTTAGTGTTATGTTTGGATTTATTTTTCTTTTTTGTGCAAGAATGATTTCCTACCTTTCCTGTATGTTTGCCTTTACCCGTGAGCTTTTCCGTTTTGTAATTTTCTTGTTTCTGGTTGTGGCCTTTTCTTTCCTGCCTAGAGGAGTTCCTGTAGCATTTGTTGTAAAGCAGGTTTGGTGGTGCTGAATTCTTTTAGCTTTTCTTGTCTTGTAATGTTATCTCTTTATCTTTAATTTTTGACATTTTAATTATATCTTAGTGTGCTCCTCTTTGGGTTAATCTTGTATGGGGCTCTCTGTGCTTCCTGAACTTGGGTGACTTTTTCCTTCCCCAGGTTAGGGAAGTTTTCAGCTGTTTTCTCTTCAGATATTTCCTCAGGCCCTTCCTCTCTTTCTTCTCCTTCTGAGACCCCTATAATGAGAATGTTAGTGTGCTTTATGTTGTCCCAGAGGTCTCTTAAACTGCTTTCTTTACTTTTCTTTTCTTCTCTTCACTTCTCTTCTCTTCTCTTCTCTTCTCTTCTCTTCTCTTCTCTTCTCTTCTCTTCTCTTCTCTTTTCTTTCTCTTTCTTTCTGCCTTTTTTTCTTTTCTTCTCTTTTCTTTTCTTTTCCTTTCTTTGGCAGTGAGTCCCACTATTCTGTCTTCCAGCTCACTGATTCATTCTGCCTTGTTTAGTCTACGATTGGTTCCTTCCAGTGTAGTTTTCGTTCCAGTTATTGTATTCTTTAGTTCTGTTTGATGGTTCTTTATTTTTTCTGTCTCTTTGCTAACAGCTTCTATCATCTTGTTCTGTTCATCCATTCTCCTCCTGAGATCTTTGATCACCCTTGTGGTCGTAACTCTGAACTCTTTCTTGGGTAGACTGCTTATCTCCACATCACTTAGTTCTTCATCTGGGGTTTTATCTTGTTCCTTTGTCTGGAAGGTATTCGTCCACTGCCTCGTGTTGTTTAAATGTCTACTTGTATTTTTATGTATGTGGCATGTTAGTTATGTTTCTTGACATTGGAAAAGTGGACCTCTCTAAGAGATGTCCCGTGCATCCCAGCCCTGTCCCCTCTCCTCACCCAGGGGCTCAAGGCCAGCTGGTCCCAGGGTGAATCTGGCCTGTGTTTGGGACTTGTGTCACAGATTGCAGGGTGGAGGCTTTCTAGCTGAGTTTGGCCCCCGGTGGGTGAGGCTGCCTATAGGCTAGTGCAGGCTTCCTGGTGGGAGGAGCTGGTGCTTGCCCACTGATGGGTGGAGTTGGGGCTCAGCCCTCTGGCAGGCTGGGCCGTGTGGCTGGGAGTACATCTAGAGGCAGCTGCAAGGTCAGAGATTGTTTGGCCAGTCTGTATGCTGATGGGTGGGGATATGTCCCCGCCCAGCTAGCTGTCTGGCCTGAGGCGTCCCAGCACTGGAGCCTGAAGGCTGTTGGGTGGGTCAGTGCTAATGTCCACGCAAGTTGTCAGCCTCCCGGAAGGAGAGTTCATTCCGATGAACACGCCCGAGTGTCTGCCACCGTGTGTATGTCTCCAAGGTGAGCCACAGCCACCCTGCGCCCCCTCAGGAGACCCTCAAGACTAGCGGGTAGGTCTGGCCCAGGCTGCTATACAAAAACTGCTTTTGCCCTCGGCCCCAGTGAGTGTGAGGTTTTCTGTACAACCCTTAAGCATAAATTCTGCTTCCCCCAGTCCCATGGAGCTCTTGTAATCAAGCCCCAGTGGCGTGGCCTTCAGAGCCCAACACTGAGGGCTCCTCTTCCTGGTACCAGACCCCCGGGCTGGGGAGCCTGACGTGGGGCTCTCTCTCCCACAGGAGGGGCTCTGCAGTGTAATTATTCTCCAGCTTGTGGGTCGTCCCCCCACCGCAGGTGTGGGACCTGATTGTTGTAGTCCGCCCCTCCTACCAGTCTTGTCGTGGTTTCTTCTTTGAGTTTTTAGCTCTAGAAGATCTTTTCCGGTAGTTTCCAGTCTTTTTTTCTGTTGTTGATAGTCACTCTGCAGGTGGTTGTGACCTTGGTGCGTCTGTGAGAGGAGGTGAGCTCCAGCTCCTTCTGCTTCCCCCGTGGCCCCCGGTCACTCAGTGAATTAGAAATTCATAAGGACTGTCAGAGCTGGATCTTTTGTTGTCTTATTCTTGATTCTTCAGTTAGTCATGTATATATAAAGACTTATGGCTTCAACCACCGTCTGTAGTGCTGATTCCCAGGCAGTGTGTGGTTGCATTTATTCACATTCATTGCTTTATTCGCATTTCTGTTTGCATTTCATGCTTTCTGCCTAAAATATATGTATATTTTCTGCCTGAAATATATATATATATTTTAGGATTTCCTTAATGGTGGAGCACATTTTGTTTGAAAATATTTTCTTTTCTCATTCTTGAAAGATATTTTTGCTTTACATTGAGTTCTAAGTTTGCAGAATAGTAGGTTTGGTATATAATTCAACATACTGTGTGAAATAGAAGTCTTGGAGTATTTACTTTACATCTTTCTTTAGGAGCATTGTCTTCCTCCTGTGGGTTGGTGAAAGGAAAGCTTACATTATAAAGAGTAAAAACTTTGGAAAATTGCAATATAATAAGAAGGTGTGTATTTTCCAATTCATATTGCTGGCTATGGATTCCTAAATCAGTGTTCCTTACGTTACACAGTGATTTGGAGATGAGTGCTGAAAGTATGCTTTTAAAGTGCTAAGTACTCTAGAATCTTGGTATAATAGTTGACACTAGTATGGAATGAAAATGAGGATTGGTGTGTTAAGGCTCCTTTCAGGATGCTGAACTCAAATGCCTTTTCATCTGTGACATGTCTGTAGTCTTAGGCTCTGAGTGAGGATCTGTGGTAGGAAGGATGCTATTGTATTTTATATTTGATGTGCTTACCAAAAAAGAAACAATAGTTAGCTCTAATGTTCTACAAAGAACTTTGTGATATTTGTAATATATCACTCCAGCTTGAACCTAAAAATAATCTTGACCTCTTAAGGAGTAGCTAACAATATTCTTTATTTATTATATTTATCTACACATGTAACAGACTTTTAGCCAAATGTTAACCGTGCAAGAACATAAAATCAATGTGTATGTGTGAAGCACCTGGCTTCTGGTAGTTACTAGGAGGAGTAAAAAATGAAACGGAGAAAAAAAAATTTTTAAGTGACATTCAGACAATTGCTCGTTGAATAGTTGACATGCATAATAATGAGGCGGTTGTGAATATGTAGACTTAGAAAATAGCAGAATGTATTGACTGGAAATGTGAAGGTGATTGCAGGCTATAGAAAGAAGATGAGAAGAATGAGAGAAAGCATCAGGATGTGGCTGTAGGTCCCTAGGAGGAGTTGCGAGAAACTAAGCTATCTCTAGAAAGGAGCTTGGTGTAGTTGTTACCTCAACCCTGGCTGTAGCTTAGAGTTAACCGGATGTCTCTTAAATGTATGCTGATGCCTAGGATCTTATCCAGAATTTTTATAGAGTAGGACTCAGGTGTGAGTGTCTTTAAAGGTCCCCACATGGTTCTAAACTGAAGACAAAATTGAGAACCACTGGTGTACAGGCATACTTTGGAGATGTTCAGTGTCAGTGGTCATTAGAAATGCAAACTAAGACCATGCTGAGCTGCCCCTTCACACCCCCTAGGATGTCAATGATAATAATGATAATAATGATGATAATAATAATAATAATAATAAAA